GTGTGTGTGTGTATGTGCATGTGTGTATGTGCGTGTGTGTATCACCTAATTGTACTCACCTAATTGTGGTTGCAGGGGGTCGAGACTCAGCTCCTGGCCCCGCCTCTTCACTGATCGCTACTGGATCCTCTCTTCCCCTCTGCTTCCTGAGCTTGTCATACCTCTTCTTAAAACTATGTATGGTTCCCGCCCCCCACTACTTCACTTGCTAGGCTATTCCACTTGCTGACAACTCTAGACTGAAGAAAAACTTCCTAATGTCCCTGTGACTCGTCTGAGTCTCAGCTTCCCGTTGTGACCCCTGTCCCTGTGTCCCTCTCTGGAACATCCTATCTCTGTCCCCTTGTCTATCCCCGCAGTATCTTGTATTTTTTGTTATCATGTCTCCCAGACCCTTCTGTCCTCCAGTGTCGTCAGTCCGATTTCCCTTAACCTTTCCTCGTACGACATTCCCTTGAGCTCTGGGACTAGCCTTGTTGCAAACCTTTTGTACTTTCTCTAACTTCTTGACGTGCTTGACCAGGTGTGGGTTCCAGACTGGTGCTGCATACTCCAGTATGGGCCAACATACACAGTGTACAAGTGTCTTGAACGATTCCTTATTAAGGTATCGGAACGCTATTCTCAGGTTTGCCAGGCGCCCCCTATGCTGCAGCGGTTATTTGGTTGATGTGTGCCTCCCGGGGATGTGTCGGTGTTATGGTCACCCCAAGGTCTTTCTCCCCGAGTGAGGTCTGTAGTCTTTGTCCACCTAGCCTATACTCTGTCTGCGGTCTTCTTTGCCCCTCCCCAATCTTCATGACTTTGCATTTGGCTGGATTGAATTCGGGGAAGCCAGTTACTGGACCACTTGTCCGCTCTCCAGGTCTCTTTGCAGTCCTGCCCCATCCTCGTCCGATTTAATTCTTCTCATCAACTTCACGTCATCTGCGAACAGGGACACTTCAGAGTCTATTCCTTCCATCATGTCGTTCACATATATCAAAAATAGTACTGGTCCTAGAACTGACCCCTGTGGGACCCCGCTCGTAACAGGCGCCCACCGTGATACCTCTTCACGTACCATGACTCGTTGCTGCCTCCCTGTCAGGTATTCCTTTCCATTGCAGTGCCCTTCCTTTTACGTGGTGCCTGATCCTCCAGCTTCTGCATAATCTCTTTGGGG